TTTATTTTGCATAATACATTTTTAAATAATTCAAAAGTATTTAAAATTTCAAAAGTCTAATATTTGCAAATGATGCAGAGCATTGTTTCCTTTGATTTGTATGCTTTATATTTATTATTTCTATTTATTCCTTTATTTACACTACCTTCATATTCTAAATGAATAAGATGCCTTACAGGGAATATACCATTATACGAGGAAATATGCAGGGATACAATTACAATTTTAGATTTTATTTGATTATATTGTATGCCTCAGCATACTAAAGAATACATGAAGCAAGTAAAAAAATGTGATTATTGCGAACCACAAGCGCGCGATGTAATAATTTATACATCAGGTAAAACTAAATGAGATACTTGTTAAACGTGCGATGTACGGAATAGATAAGAATAAAATATAAGTTACAACGTTAAAATATAAGTTACAACGTTAAAAATAAAATTCAACGTTATCGCACATTCGCATTAATAAACTTACCTATACACTATGATCACAGTTACATTCATAATATTATAAGTTATTACATGTCATTATCGTCTTTATCATTATTATCATATTTTACTGTATATATGTACATTCTGGTTATAAATAGGTGTATGTTCAATTAATTAAATATAATCTGGTTTGAAAGTCTATGACTAGTGATACCTATTTTCTTGTCAATGACAATACGAGTGATAATACTATCGCAATCCGATATAAATGAAGCTTCAAACAATTATGAATAATAACAGTTGCTATATCATACTTTAAAAACAATTCTATGCCTTTCCTTTAATACACTGTACACATTTTTCTTCATTTCATTCAATATCTTCATAGCGTTGAAGTCTTATAACTTTGTTCCACTTAAATAATTTCTATTTACTGACATTTAATGTGGGGCTAAGTCTGAATATTATGCACGCACATCCGCGGAACCAGACCTTTTCGATCACCTCTCGCACATAACAACCACTTACTATCTACTTCTAGAATTACTTTCAGCTTCTCACCTTCTCCAAATGCAAGATGCCCATTATATGATGAGACCCTATGCGTAAGTGTGCGAACTTCTCTGGAACCGACATGCGCGATCTGTTATTTTACTAATCTATGAAAAGAAAACAGAAAAAACAACGAAACGTTAAGTTCTAAAACTAGAAACAAAAAGTCGAATCAATGCACTAAAAATTATAAATAACGTAACTAAATAATAATGCAATAAAAATACGAAATTACATAATTTTTAATATAAAATTAAATTTCAAATCAGTGCATTTAAATTAAATTTCAAATCAGTGCACTTAATGCATTCAATATATTTAATTTCTCCATACTTACTTAAGTGGTTTTTTTGTAGGAGGATTTCTTGCAGTACTAGTAGCAGTTGGTCTTGGTAAAGACGTAGACGCCGCTCGTCTTTGAGGAGATATTAAATTTTTGTCTTTAGACATTAGTCCATAAGACTTATATGGTAAAGAACTAGGTCGCGCTAAGTGAGTTCGCGTTGTTCCTACAACCTCCTGATCCACTCTACTAGTACGCCTTGTTACGTCTTTGCTTCTTACTTCTATTGGTTTTTTTGGTGTAGTTTTTGTTGTAGAAAGTATAACAGGTTTCTTCAAAGATGGTATTCCCGAGACAGGAGATTTCGTATTCTTGGCAGGTCCTGCTATCGTATTTGACTGTTTTACCGGCGAAGTAAGAAGCCTAGGTATCTTAGATTTTCCTACACTCGTAGGTGTTCGTGTAGGTGATAAGGGTGTTGAGACTACTGGTTGATTCTTTGCATCTTCTTTTCCAACCATCAATTCCCATTTTTCTTGAAGTTTCCTAAATTTCTCTTCTCCCGACATATTGTCTTCATCATTCATTTTATTTTCCGGACTATGAGATTTTCTAGGTACAGGTTGTTTATTCGATGCTCTATTCAACGGTGAATGTTCTAAACTATCAGTGTAATCTTCAGAATCTTCGGAAGCCAGTTTATCCAGAGCACGAAATACTTTTGAACCTATAGGATTACTTAAACGTTTCTTCACGGTTTCCATATCTGATTTATGAATACCGCTAGGTTTATCATCATAATTGCTATAAGCAACACACGATCTGGGACGTACTTTTCTTGGACTAGAAACCATTGCACAAGTATCCGTTTTATCGAAATGATGTTCCTTTGTGGTAAGATCGACATTCCTAAAGTTTACAGCCTGCGAAATATTATCATAATATGATGCATTAATCTTGATAATAGAAGCTTCGATTAAGTAAAATGTACAAAGACGCGAATCTTCAAAGTATTGTAACAATACTTACATTTATAGTATGATTATTTAAATTGCCAAAACTGTTGTGAAGTTGACGATACTGATATAGAAGATCAAGCTGAAATGGGCAAAATGCAAGGGGATCTAGAATATATAATAGAGTATCAACAACTTCTCGTGCATTTGGATTTGATAAAGCTGCCACGAATAAACTGTTGCTATTGTAATGTTTTCTTAGGATAGATTCTCTCGTACATAAATATACAAACCACGCATCCAAAGCTCTTAAGCTGAAAAATATGATTCATTTATGGCACAACTGTAATATCCGTATATAAAATAATACGATCATTTTTACTGCGGTACTAACTTACTTTAACAAACCAAATACAAATGCATGAAACTTTAGCATTCCTTCGGTAATAACATCTTCACCATTAATTTTTTGTACTAATTCGTTTAATGTTTTAGTAACTGGACCTTGTTGAGAGGATGCTTCAACCACTTGCCAAACACTATTCGTTATTGGTCCAAATGTAGAATTTAAGTGTGGCTTCAATCCATCTGACATAATGGCATACAAAGCTGGGCACAAATTACTAACACAGATTTGAGCACATTCATTTTTATCATTGTAATTTTGTCTACCATGAGTTGATTCACTATTCCAGTATTTCAATAATAAATCTACTGCTTTATTTACAGATAATATCATTTCTGAAAATTTAAATATATAATTAATACTTGATTAGGGTATTTGAAAATCATTAAAAACAAGATTATTTGGGAATTATAGATAACGTATTTACTTCTCTTCTCATCTAAATCCAATGATTTATTATCAGGAATCACCTCCTTTTTTTCTTCTGTAAGTGCAACTTCTTTACTTGATTCATTTGCAACTACATTTAAATTATTAGTCTGAAATAAATGCTTTATTTATACAAATTCAGAATGCATGTCTTAACACAAAAAAATAATATAAAAGTTATGTAAAATTACCTTATTGTCTAAGTATTTTTTCCTTTGGTTTACGGCAAAACTGACAGTCTTTTTCTGCGATTCTATCATATCCATCATATCAGTAGCTTTGGTAACATCTTTATTCATCCTGAGAGCTAAAAACTTTCTTACATATGATCTTAATTTAACGTCGGGATCTTCTACATCTCCATCACTACTTGATGAGAAACCGCTACGTTTCAAAAATTCTTCCAATTGTTTTACATCATCTTCACTATTTTCAGAATTTTCAGTCTCCATATCTGTTGTAGTTGTTTCATTTACCCTTTCTAAAGCATAATAAAATACATTCACATCGAACGTATTATAAAAATAGTAACGTAGCAACAGATTAATTATATTTACCTGTATGATATCTTTCCTCTGTCTCGTCAACATCTTTTTCTGAATCAACAATTCTTCCACGACACGTTAATTGTAAATCGTTATTCATATAATATGGCTCTTGTAAAGACTTTCTTTTATTTGTTTCAGGCGATTGATCCTCTATTTCTTCTACATCTCCCATTTCAAACATGCTATATCTTTTACTTGCAGGAACCTTGCTTTTTCTTAAAATACTTCTGGGTAAAGGTGGTCTTGGTGGCACTTTTCCATTAGAAAATTCGGACTCACGATCTCCGTGTGGTAATGAGATCGATCGTTTCGGGAGACACGGACAGGTTGTTTTTGTTTTACTAATTTGCCTATGCATTTTTTTATCGTTACTTACTAAACTGGCCTCGGAACTAATACTATCATAACGGTAAAGGTACAATGGATTGGTTGCGTTATTTAACGTTTGTTGATTTGTTGAAGAATCAGTTAATATCGTAGAAGATCCTCGATATCCAGAGGATGGTTGCGTTGCTGTGCTACTAGTAGAAGATGAAGTATTTGGTATGATTTCACTTATGGTACGAGTTTTATGACGCATTGGAGGAGATAAACAAAACAGAGGCTTTTTCGTTTCTTCATTAATATTGATGTGCTTTGAAACTTCTGGTACATCGTACAAAATTTTTTTGTACTCAGTAGGCAAAAGGAATGTCAACGACTCCCAATCTTTAACGTGTGAGAATCCACGTTGACGCAATGCATCTATATCATTACATGAAAATGGTCTACCAGATCTACCAGTATGTTTCCAATTAACTCTATTTTTTCCAAAGCACTGTGGCTTTAAAGCTATATTATCTAACTTTGAATCTTTAATATTGAGAAATGATAAATCAGGTAGTGCATAATTTGGATATACAACATAAACTGGCTTCTTGTTAACAATTGTTTCCTTTAAAGAAGGATTTTCTTTTTCTTTTTCTTTTGTAGAGGATGTAAATACTAAAGATGTCTGAACTGAATTGTCCTCTGTTTCAGCTATTGCTTGAATACCAGTTGTTTTACAAATTGGATGTTTCTTTTCCATAGATTTAATCCACGCGGTTTTTCGCTGATGTTCAAAAGGAAGAATGTCAAACTCGTTTTGGTCGGTATCATGATCGTGCGTTAAATCTGATTTAGATGTATTTTCTGATAATTCTTCTACAGATGCAGATGACATCATTTCATCCTTCTGTTCACTTATTCTTGATGAGCGTTTTGGAATATCACTAAAATTGTCTTTCTGATTTTCTGTTTCTTGATTATTATAAACGTCACTTTTAACCCAATTAATAGAAAAGTCACCTTCTGGAACTTGCTGTTTAGAGGTATTATTTATATTTTGCCGTTGTATTTGTGTATTTGTATTAGTACCACTGTCACTAGCACTATTGTTTGTAGGCCATCCATTATCACTAGCAGAGTCTGACTGATCCAAAGTAAGACTCATTCCTTCAGCACTCATACTTTTTTGTTTCATAAATAATTTTACAAGACTTAAATTTTGCAACTTCTTTCCTGTTGGATGATGTTCCCCATTGTCAGAACTTTCTTCGTTTATAGATCGACTCATTACAGATCCCGAACTTTGTAACTGTTGTGCATGATTATTTGATTCTGCAGAATCGACCTGTATAAAAACATTCGAAAGATTATTTTATTAATAAATTTCTTTTTGTTTTTAAGTGAAAGGTATCTTTGAAACCTACAGAAAAATTAAGAGGCATATTAAGATGTAATTGTGTAGCTTGAGTAAGATCTGGCAAACTTTGACTTCTCTTATTTGTTACAGATATAATATTTTCAACACCATGTGAAAATTCTGGTATTGTATTGTTATTGCCTGATGGATGACGAGTTATAATTTTATTCATAGAAGAATGTTTCAAATTGCTCCATGTAGTATATATTTTAGAATCAGAACATGCCATTGATAAATCTAATACATTTTTTAAGTCTGCATTTCTATTATAATATGGTCCTGCTGCTTCATAAGCATTTTGCTTTTCTATAAAAAGAAATACCACGAAAATTATATTTGTCTACTGTTTCTACATATAGAAAATTGTTTACTGTTATACCTTGATTTTCAAAATCTTGTGAACCATCTGAATACATTGTAATACTACCCTCAAAAGCAATAGTATAGTTGTCTTTATTGTTTGTTTGGCATGTTAGCAGCATATCTTCACAGTCCAGAGAGTCGACGCTGTAACTACCCCCCGGTGGTAGTACGGGTGTCTCTTTCATAGGAGAGAAGAGTAGTGATGACTTGCATATAGAAATTGTATCTGTTGTTGAACAGGCTGAATCTTCTCCCTTTAATATAAAATATGTTTTCATTAGATACCTAATATACCCTTAAATAATTGACCATGCACTTTGTAAAGCTAGCACAGCTCATTTTCATGCACTGGTTAAATGACATAATTAATTTTATTAACTTAAATATTTTTGGTGGTTGTTACATAATCAAATCAGCTTGAATTTCTTTCTTTTATTAATCATGCAGAGGAATTGCAAGCAAATTAAGTTTTATTTCATGTTAAGCAAAACTTGTGTCAACATAAATGTTTTTATATCAACTTCAACATCAGTAGAAGAAATCCAACATTTTCAGCCATTGTCATACCTGGCTGCTGGTATGAGGGCTGATAGATGAACCGATGTCAAGTTTTTCCATAACAGATCCAGATATACTGGCATATCGTTCCCTTTGATAGTTAAACTGCCATGATGAGATACAGAATATTTTTAGAATGTTATTTACAAGTACAATGAAGAAACTGGAAGTATTTTATGCTGTTGCAACCAGGAACCGCAATTAATGACCATTTACAAATTAAAGAATAACATTCATGAAAAGATATTATCTAACAAAAATTTATCCCAATTTAAGAATGTTAATAACATTATAAAATATCAGCTTTTACAATATAACAGTTTCATAAAATATATTTGCTTGCAAGCTATCCACAATGAAAATAATTTTTTCCAATAATTAGATTATATAACTTAATTTATAACATAAATAAGGGATTATAAAATGAAGACTATATATGACAATTTACTATATTTACCTCTGAATGCTGAACTGGATCTGTACACATAACAGGCAATGCTGTAAGCAAAGTATGAATGTCTGCTGTACGAAAGCTCTCCATATCAATTTCTGCCAAGTTAGCATCCAGGTTACGGGCAAGATCATCATAGTAGCCCAAATCTTCCCGAGAATATGAAGCAGAGAGTGAGGACAATACACTTGGATGAACATGAAGTCCTCCATCTCTGTAGCTAACATTTTATGTATGCATAAGTATATATATATATATACAAACTCAGAACTAATTAAATCTTGTTGGATAGAATCTGTTGCAGGATTGGAGTTGCAATCAGATCCTGGTGTTTGTGGATCTTCCATCACTGCAGCCCCTTTGCCTGCACCTAAGACACACATTACATAAGATTAATAAGTAGTCATAAAATTATGTATAATTAAAAAACCAATGAAAAACAAACCATATCTTGCATACACAAAATGTTTTTGTGGTTTGTTAAACATTTTCTCTTTTTTGCCAATGTTTCATCGTAAACCGCATATAATACAGCGATTCATATTAATACAAATTATGACTCGATCATAATTGGATGTATTTACATCGTTTACGCTCTGATTGCAGCTCATGACAGACTGTCGTGTATCGAGTATTTACAACGTCGCATTCTGCGTATTATACAAGTTATATGAAAAAATACACAAAACTGAATGTTACTTTGATATTGTCACATTGTTATAGAGAAGAATAATTGCACACTACGAACAATCTCTCTTGATGTAATGCGCAAATAGCAGTAGTGTCACAGTGATGATAATGAATCACATTTCTGGGACACCACAAAAGAAGGCACTCACTGCGGTGGTCTCAATAATACCACCGGCAATGCACTGATAAACATGTTAGGAATTTCCTTCTGTTCGTGTACCGTGGAATGTTCACGATAAAGAAGTGTCAGCCAGTGACGTCAGGCTGAGGTTATGGCGGATGCATTTGAGCAAGTGCGCCCGTGTTCCGTATCGGGGATGATCAAGGCTGCGCGTCATCATGACACTTAAGAGGGCGTGTTTTAAGGTTAGTTGTCACGTAATAAATAATTAATTAATCGATTGGAACGTATTAATTTTATATTGAGAAATCAGTGATGCTGTAGAAAACGCATGTCTAATGTGGAAATCTATCGGACCACTTATTCCGAAATAATTGAAACAAAAGAATCTTTTGTTGAATATTCTTTTAGACAGATCCTTAATTAGACGTAATTTGAAGGAAACATAAATCATGCGCAGAAAATGAATGTCATATTTAAATTCACATATTCTTTTGTAACATGTTAAAAGTATCTAGAAACATTATTTAAATGTGCGTGTAATAAACTTTACTTTCTTATGCATGTTAGATTCGCTTCTAAATTTACTTTAAAATATTTGTAGGTGTCATAATAATAAACAAAGTTATAAACATCCTAGACTAGAGGTATACAATAGCACAGTTCATAGTTCATTGTCATTCATTGTTAACAATACACGTGAACAACTCAACGGGCTATTATGAAGATACACATTTTGGATGATTGTCAACTTGCTTCGTTGCAGAGAGATAAAATGTATCATAATGAGAAAAAAGGAGACTGTTTTGAATGCAAGTTACTAATCGTACCTCGAAGAATTCTTTTCCATCGCATCGCCACGGTCGCTGGAATTTTTTGTTCTACGGAGAATATTTACATTCGATAAATGTTATCCGAAAACACTCATGCTCACGACCATATGGCGACAACTCGCCCGTCACTCATAGTTAGGAATTCATTTTAACTGCGCCTATGGTGTACGATTGCTCATGCGGCGCATGAGCATTACCAATCCAGCGTAAAGGGTGGGCAAAAGGAAATCGGATACAACACGCCTGAATTAAGGTTACGATACGACACGCTAGATTTCTTTTGTCGCTTGTCGCAATGTTCAGATTCGAATAAAATACTCTACTTTCCAGATGTTAACATAGAATGTTTATCTAAACCACAACTTTGATATTTGATGTAATCATAAAATTTTTATGTAGAAATTTTAAAAAGCATAAAAAAACACGTATGGGTAAACTTTTCGTAACATATAAAATATTCTCCCTATTCTTAGGTAATCTTAGCACCATGATTAGCAAATTGTTAAAATACTTCGAAGATACAAGGACTTGGCAATCGTTGGGTATTTTAAATTCTTCGCGTCCATGGGACACTTTAGCCAATTTTATTTCGAGATGCGACTCGAACATCGGCAAGTCCGGGAAAGTTAAACTCGATTAGCATCGCACAGTATGTATGCCTTGACGGAAGTCGTTCCACACGTTCGACAGTCCCGATATATCAATGCAGCCTGTGGTTTTACCCGTCTGAGGAAAAATCCTTCACGGTGCTTCGTTCACGGTGTCGAGGGCATCGGATAATTTTAGCGTGCCGCAGAAGAAGCGAAGTAAGCAGCAGAAGAAATTCAATAGCCAAATTTCGCGATACGGCACACGTGAACCGTTGAAATATAATCTCGTGATACTTCTGCCAAAGGGACAGATTTAATTGCTTGGCTAGCGTATATATTTTGCAATTTTTCAACAGCCAAATGAATCTAACGAGTACATTGTAAAGAAATTAATTCAATTGGAAAATTGTCTTCGACATTGCAATGTCATTTTAAAATCTAAAAAACAGCTTTACTTTTTTTTATTCTTTTTTTTTATTATGGAATTATTTCTTCTTTTGTTTTGTTTTTAATGACTCTAAATCAATTGCAAGGCATCTCGTGAAAATACATCGTGAATCATCTCATGATCATGTTTCCGCGTACTTAAGCGTTTCAACAGATGTCACAGAATTATTTGTTCTCAAGCGCGCACATGTAAAGCACTCCCACACGGCGTGAGTACCCGAAATAGTAGGGCACACCGCCATTTCTCACATACGCGGCCGTGGGAGAGTTTGTTAAATTAGGAAGCATTTTTTAAGCTCTTTTAAAAGCATCTGTACTACGATATATTCGAAATACGTTATACGGAACATTGCAATCTTCTCAGATTGCACATTAAAATTGCTGTTATTACTGCATCCTCTTCAACATTCCGTTTATTAGCGACTGTTAACACGCACAGCCTTGAACGAAACGATATATGTAGACTCTTCTCTAATGTTAATTAATCCGATTAGAAGTGATTGTAAAATTAGCAGAGGATATATGAGAATATTATGCAAAAGAATAGTAAGATTGCTACAATATCGACTATTCGAAATTAACGACCTTATCAATCGAGTTATTTCATCTATCGATAAATTATTTCCATTATTTTAATGTACCAAAGCGTCGTAATCTTGTAATTTAGCTATTTAAATTCGACTTAGACAAATGTTAGACACAAAGCATGTTCATCTTGTATATTCTTACGATTATACAGTAGGCAATTGCACTTCTCATTAGGTCGTCGGTAATATTTCCGTTCTTGCCTCTTGCGTTTGCCGCAGTAAAGATGTGGTGGTCGTGCAGGCGTTTCGAATGGTGGGCTCATACGGCCAACAGAGAACTCTGCTATTTTCATGATGACACACAACAAAAGCACTATCATCATTTGTAAATATTCAGCGTTTTTTAATACGCTATCACGTTACAACATAGTAGTAACGCTTTCTCACTGGTTAATCCAGTCAACACGTTGCTAACGAAGATTCTCGAAGGATTAACACTCTTAAGTCACGCACAAGTCTAATAACGAGAAAACGAAGGAGTAGCACAAAATTTACCAATCGTCCAAACGCGAGAATATCATACCTCGCTTGTTCATCATTTTAAAATGTTCAGACACCGTACAAAACAGTGTACATTTGTCACTTCAAAGTTACATCACGGGACAGAAGCAGTTCCCGCGGACACTTTATACAAAACTTGCGACACACACTTCAGCATAAAAGATGTTTTGCACTTTGACGAACGAAACACGCGTGAAACAGAGTCGATTACTCGTCCGTACTCGAGCCGATGACACCTTTCAAAGACGCCTTTGTTTACGGCACACCACCTCGCTTCAGCGTTTACATCGCGAACAATGAAGACGCGTGTCGTCGTGGTTGAACCCACGTTTCCGTCTTTACTGACAGGAAAAGCGACGTCTATGCGCGGAAAGTGTGCAACTGTAGAAGTTCTAAGAATCCAAGCACCGAATATGTATACCGGACCACTACACTGCCTTATCCCGCGATGAAAGAGCTATTATAACTGCAAAGAGTTGTACACTTTTTATCGACCTTCCTAAACTAGATTCTTATTTTCCGAATGTGTGAAATGGTTTTGTAGATATATATCGATTTTCGATCTGAATTATCATGAAAGGGCGGGGACTAAGATGGCGCTTCGTATAACGCAGGTTAAATATTTTGATTTTTTCATAAAAAATCAGAAATTAATGGTTAATATGAAACTACTCGTTCGAGAATATTAGGAAGTGGGTAGGAATATATGAAAATACTATAATTTGCTGTACTATTGATAACTATAGAAATATGATATCCAGGACGAGTGCTTATCAAAATGATTCAGAGACTTCAAGGGAATCGTAATTTAATACGAAGGTTAAAAGGTGCGGTTCAGTGAAAGATACGGAAGATAAAACAGAATTGCAAAACGTGGTTTTGGCATTGGTCGAATATTCTAGCCGACAATAGTAATAATAGTCGTTACGTCAGCAGACGCGTTCAACTGCCTAAATTGCAACAAGTGGCGAAGCAATTGTTTCGAGTTAATCGAACATTGAGATAACGAGGGTTCGTCGGACCGATTAATGCTTTTGAAATAGGAACAGAAGATAAAAATTGTTGGAACATTGAGTCATACTGATCGATGAATTCGTTGACAATGACTGTGGGTTATTGAAATAACTGATTCAAGGGGCAACTTGTTAACTGTCGGAAAAAATAGGGCAAATTTTATAAGTCATTAAAGTATCACCTTATCGGACACGTTATCGATAAGTTTAGATTAACCTTAATCTCCGTTGAATTCGAATTTCCAGTTGAAAATGACAAATATAAAAATTCTAATTTTCATTTGAAAATCACGTTTTACATTATTACGATATTTATCAATCACTACGATTGAAGATCAGTAAGTTTTATAATAAGAACAAACCACACGCGCAACTACGCAATCGGAGAAAGTAAAGTGCAACGCAACTTGTTTACCCGCCGATAGTCTACCGAGTATCGATAACGTCAAACGATTTATCCCGCCCGGTGTCATGGTAAATAATGCAATGGTAAGCGTGCTTCATTACAGTAAGTGCGCGCTCGACGAACCCATCGTTACACCATGAACTTCCACGATATAAAGCACGGTGTAAGTAATGACTCCGGGAATCAGAATTAATTCTCTCCCTACTGCTAGATGAACCTGGATTATTACGATCGAATGTCAAGTGATGCTCGAGAACACGAACAGTATTTCCCATGTGTAAGTTGACACACTGCATGTAATAGCATAGCTTGATCAGAAGGGGGCGAACCTGTAGTTCTTCACAATGGAGGCCTTTTTAACGAATGCATAAACACAAGAGATAACGCAAGTACGAAAATGTCATCAATGCACCGAATGTTTGCACCACGATTTACTCGTCATATCTAAAATGGTCTACGAATCACCAAATACACGATAATACACGAACGCACACACAAATCTTTTTCGATGCAACTACCTCTACTTTATAACGCAACACTGATCACTCTTTACACACGTTCACTTGTTTTCCGATAACGGACAAAACAGATAGCTTTAATCCGGTCGGCGATCACGGTCGTGGGTTAATCGATGGGTAACACTATTTTTCCACGTTTATTTTCGCGGATTCGGTTTCTGGACCGCTGTCTGAGTCAGACTGCCCTAACGGCGTGCGTCCTGCGCGGGAGAGCGTTTGCACACGGCACGACACGACGCGGAGTTTAATCTCTATTAATAAATACTCGCTCTGCCTCGGCCAGAATAGAGAGCAGCTCTCCGTTGCCGGCTCATTGAATGCATACGCGGTGTTTCATATCGAAGTTCGTAATAAACGCGAACCGATTTCGTCTTACGATACATTTCGTTTGGCGGATTCGCGTAGAGAGGTTAGATCGCGTCGATAGGAAAACAATCGATGAAACAACGCTTAACCTAACCTATGATTTTTCTAGACGATAGATTTTTTGTTTCGATCATTTTCTCGATGTTGCTCAATCGTTATCTTTTTGTTTATTTGCGAACTGAATAGAACTTGGACATATCTGATGTGCAGCAGCTAATCACAGTAATGGTTTCGATTTGAGTTCGAGCCATCGCTGCGACTGCTGCTGCTTCGAGAAATCGATTCTCGGATTAAACGTTAAAAATAACTTAACGATGCTTCTCGCTTGAACAGAGAGAGCATGAAATCTTTTTCAATTAAATTCATCTTTATTATTGGAAAATAAGAAACTTATATTCGATTTATTATTCGAGCGAAACTTGAGATAAAATTAAGCGTGTGATAGCTTTCTTTTATCGGAAAAATATTTTAAATTCACATGAATCGAGAGAAGATTGGAAAAATGAAGAACGGAAACATCAGTTGCAATCTCTCGGGAGCCAGATGTCTAAATATAAACAATTCATCAAATCGATAAGCTCTTTCATAAGCACAATGTATGTCTCTGATGAAATTAAAATGCAAGGTATCGAATAATGTATCGAATATCTGGATTATAGTATATGCAAATACAGAAGGCTCGTATAACGCTTGGAATAATTGAAATATTCTACATATAGAAAATGGACCATATTCTAAAAACGAAAAAGCATCTGAAGAACTTTAAATAAAGAAGTATTACCGATTCGACCAATTTTCGAGATATCGATTGTTCTATTTAAGTAAGTGATCTTTCGATTATTTTTAAAATTCCACCAATGGTAAATGTCAGTTCCACAGGATTATCCATGTAATCGAATTAGTCGCAGTTCGCGAAATACAATCGAAAATCGATGGAAAATTGATCGAGCTGAGGGGAACTGGAGGAATGGACGGATAGAAACAGGACGACGAAATAATCGCGTTTGCCCCAATCGCATTACAGGCTTTTCTTTGTATGGAACCGTATAAATGACTCCGGACAAAGGATACTCCGGGGAACACCGATACAACCACTTTGAGATACGTACTCTGAAAAAAGTACAATCAAGAAATTGAAGAATACCACTGTCCTTCGAAAGAATTAACCGGAAAGAAAATATTCATATTCTGCTATCCTTAACTATGTATGTAGTAGCACATAGTATACCAAATGCGTATGCGCAACGAAAATAATCGGTAAAATGTGCATGGAAGTAAAAAAACAAATGGAAGTGCAAGAAGCTGATCATTGACTACTAAGATTAAACGCATTTATGTACACATTAGACACAATGTAATGTTGCTTTGACTTTCCGAGATTGATCTACATTTGAAGTGGGTCGACAGAAGTATAAATTACGAAAATATATGCGCAAACTGAAACTCACCAACGCGTTCCCCGTTGCCGCAGACAATACCTGTCGCCAAGGCCTGAAAAATATGATCGCATTATCAATTCTGTTTGCCGGAGTTTGCCAATATTTGTAATGCTAAAAAAAAATCTGACTGCACCGTGTACTATTGCACTGTATCTCGTATTACCAGTGTTAGAAACTTTTTTTTTTTTTTTAAATACAACGACGTTTAAGGTTCACTGAATTCTCGTGAAATTCGATATTACCCTTGGATATTTGAAATATGGCTAGTACAGTTAATCATGAAATTTGAAACGCTTATTGGTTCGTTAGCTTTTCGAGGAACGAATTCTTCTGTTTGTTTTGTTTTTTTTTTTAATCGTAAAATTTCAATTTGCTTCGGAGAATTTGTGACAAGAAATTCACATTCTTGGGCTGTTTCGTAGCTAGCACGTTATAAAATACTACGTTATTTTTGAACCTTTACAAGTGCAGCGAAGCAGTACCTTTGAAAGATTGCGATGCATTCCCTCTTGTTAACTCGAGAGGTAAAATAAATATTGTTAAGAGAATACTTTTATCGTTCTTCTGTTTTATAACGATTATTCAAGAAGCGACTGAACGTAAATTGTTTACGTTACGTGTTGCATATTATGCCTAGTATTTATTGATTTATCTTAATAAGATAAGAGTTACATCATCGAAGATTTATGAAATTCACTGTTTTCACTGTTGTGTTAGATCGTTATTGTTTATACGTCGGTAAAAAAGAAATTTTCTTCGGACAAAAGCGTCCTGTGTATTGTATCGTACTTTAGACGAAGATTTATTAGACAAGAGACATCCGCGATAAAATCGTTAGATATGTGGGCTCTCCTTTTGCAATTCCGAAACACGTTTTTCTTTCTACACAGCCCACATAGCTTTGTTCCATTCTTTCTAATTTTTTTTTCTTTCTTTCTGCGGGTACGCGGTATATCCATATAAATCTCAACACGTAAATAAAGGTGTCAGATTGTAATTAGCCAGAAGAACGACAATGTACAGACGACGACCGGGAGCGATTCTTAAGCTATTTTTCTGACGGCAGGCGAACAAAAAGACCGGAGTGCTCCGTGGAACAAGGTCACTGGATCCTAATAAGAGTTCGTGTCTAAATAAGAGAAGGATGAATCACTTCTTGGTACAATTATCTTCTGCTAGTTGAACTACGTAAATTGATCATTATCGCCTATCTTTAGTTTCGTAATTCAAAGCCGCAGGAATTTGTCAATAAACAGAAAGATAACGAGGAATCTATTCATCCTATATGTAAATCGTGCGTTCATTTGCACAACGTGTTGCAAAAAAGTATCACCGTGTTACCGAACGTTTGAAACACTTCGAAGCTACTTCCAGAGTACGTCTGAAGTTTTTTGGAATGTTAATAATTCGTTACGATGTTTTTGAATTCGATGTATCGATCGGTGTATTTGCAGAAAGTATAGCATAAAGCGGAGAGCTTCTCGATTAGACGTAACCTTCGCATCGATTTTACGTTTAACAGAGGTCAATGACGTATTAGACTGTAACTATGCTTAAGAAATGTATTATCTGAAAGACGAATAAAAAGAGTTTCTTTGATCTTATTTCTTTCATGAGATAACGACACACACCGCATTCCTACTTCTGATTATGTTAATATAGACACAGAGGAATAGAGGAACGCCCACATTCTTGGTGCTAGAAAACGAGTCGATATTAGAGGCGACTAAAGTACTCACGTTCATGGTGAAGGGACAGCTGACAGTCGATCCACGTAACACTCAACACTCGCCACGAATTATGACATTGCGTAGAATTCCAAAGAGAGTATCACACTGTACAATTACGAGACGTTGTTATACGCATGTCACTTCTTAAAAATCACAAAGATGTACTTTACGGAATGCATATTCTGAGTCACTCTGCTGAGGAAAGCCCCTCCCTGACTGCAACAACCCCTGTCTAGCCACGAACGCGCATGCTCTTGAATTCGACTGGTCGTTCACGACGAAAGGGGATGATTCTTCGTTTCGCACTTAGCTACTCCTCGCGTGCGTGCAATTTTAAGCACTAACACCCTATACACTGTCGTTCGAATCCACACGAAGGACGCAACGATAATGAACCGGTCTGCGGTATAGACATCCCTTAAATGTTTTGAGGTTATGCTGCGCATGTCCTGAGCACCCTCTCCGAGCGGCAGTAATCGAACGACTGATTCACAATTTTCCCTCTTTCGTTTCACTGAATATTTTCTTAGGTTCTTTTGACAGATTAATCTGCCTACCGAGATCGCTCGTGTATGACTAATCATTAAGAGATAATAGCGACTGTCATTGATTTGCGATCGCAATACTCTTTCTTCGGAGAGAATGCATGATCGTGCCGCGATTCTGAAACCGACTTCGTCTTATATTGATTTTCTACGGTTTGATATCCGTGCTTGGAAAGGTAGTTACTTCTTCGCATAACTTGTACATTATGCTCGAAGTATAACTGCCAGATGAAGGGCGGCAGTAACGAATGTTCGATCAAAAGCGTCTGCTTATTGAAGCTGTCTCTTTCTAATGAAATTGTACGACTAACTTGATATTTATAATCAATTTAATATATAGCAATAAAGTAAACATATTTAAGGGATATTTACAGACACAAAAAGATATATATTATGTTTTGTAATTATTACAATGCAATATGTGCGCAAAAAGATTTTTGAAAATAGCGCTATATCTCGTTCATCAAATAGACAACATTATAAGAATTTATATAATTAGTAAAAAAGTATTAAATATTTTATAAAATATTGTTCAAGTATATACATTATTATTATTCCGCATTTGACTTCATTTGTACGTCGACCAATAAATGCGCAGTATTACGTACCGAATTTTTCAAAATCGACCAATTAGCGTCGTAGATGTTAGAAACGAATTCGCGTTTGAAATTTGCAAGCAGTTTGTGAGTTCGCGGTGTTCAAATCGATACGGGCGCGTAAAAATTTCGTTATTAATGATCAATTTTTCCTTAAATTGTGCAAATTATATTATTATTGAATCGTGTGAAGTGAAGTTAAGTGTCTAAGTGTCTAAAAGTGATCGTAATAAAGGATATCAATCTTTGGATTTACAGCCAGGAAATCTTCACGAACCTTATTCCATTACATCTGTGGTACCATTCCTTTTCGAGAAAATTAGCAGAGATACGTAAGTCACAGTAACAAAAAAAAATTTTTAAAATCATTATTCATCGAAAGCACGTATGTATTGAAAGTAAATTACTGTTATATTTGATTCCAAAGCGTCTCGATTTCGTATGCTCCGATTACGTGGTTTCAAAGTAGTCTCAACTTTATAAAGACAAAAAAAATCATATATAGATTCTTTTTCAAGTTATCTTAAAAAAAATTTAAGACTGGTAACGTGCAGACTTTTCTGCGTTCTGGAGTAGTATAGTTAAGTAAAGTCTATTGATGCATACGTGCGTTTCGAAGTGCGTGCGAGTTAGCCTGGCGACCAGTGGTTCTCAATTCTACGGGAATCAGATAAATTTTTCTCTTTCTATCGCGGAAAAATTGACACGCTAACTTTGTACCAGAACAATACTTTATTACCCTATGTTGAAAGGTACAAAATAAATACTTTTATAAAAAATATAAATCTTCAATACGGTACATGGTATATAAACGACATAGTGTTTTACATACATGGTAATATTATGTTAGGAAAATATGTTACATACATATTCTACTGGTTTTGTGACATCGTGACACTCTCGACATTATGATAATTACACGTTTCTATGTTAAACATTTCATTCAGCAACTGTATGTGTGATTATGTACAGGCCTTAGTTAAGTCTGAAAATTATGGTACAGAAACTAACAAAAGATATCATTGAAGTACATGTTCTATAGATTCTACAGAAAAAAACATGGAGGACACACCCTTATTTTGTGCGTTTGTTTGTTTTTTTTAAACACATTTCTTATTGGTTTGGCATACTTATAGAGGAACTGTTGTACTTGGTATACACATAACTCCATTCCTTTTCTATTGTTTAACGCTAAACATGTTTGTGTTCTAATGAAATGAGAATTAAATCTGCGTAATATTATGTACATATCGCGACTGAAATTAAATATTTTCGATTTAGATAGAGAATATAATTGACGTAGTAATAATTCGTGCGTATATAATACTTCTCATTTACTTTTTTTTTCTTTCCATTTTCCAAGCTCGAAAGCTTCTCGGTACATTTTCCCTTATGTACACTGTTTAATTTTATCGAGACCAGTGTTCGCGGAAATCATATTCCCGGGAATAGCCTCAATTTCTCTTTGCGGTTAAGCAGCGAGGAATGTACACTGTTAAATATTGCAAAATTAGTAAATGTCTTTCTTCATGGAACACTTCATGAGAGTGACTTTTACTTGGGCAAAAAATTACGTTATAAACTAA